GATGCTCATTCCTTACTTGTTCTTCCTTGTCATTGCCATTCAACAAGAATTGTAATCCGTCCCATACCTTATTGGCGGGCTGGTCAAAAGTTTCTTCTTCCACAACCTCAACAGAGTGAAAAGAAGACGAGTTACTTTCCTCCCCATGATCCCCACTGTGGACATATGAATGTATACCTCTGAAGGTAAGTGCATCTATTTGTTTCTGATCGTGCATTACCTTCAGCCAATCAATCTGTTCCTCAACCCAGTTCCTTAACTCACTTATCTCTATTTTTGATTGGGTTTTATCTACATTCTCCATCCTCTTCCCTATTGAGTTTAACAGAGACAGACCTACCTCAGCGTGTGGGGTGTTCTGTTCACACAATAATAGATTTTAACCTTCTAGTAACCTCTATTCAGCATCGTATGTATCTATATTCCTGCCGTTGGTCGGTGTCAATAGCTTGCACCCGATCGTTGGCCTCTATTGGAAGCTTTATTGACGAGCTGGTGCTCAAGTCAATGTTTCTAGGCCTCCACCTACTCAGTGGTTTATTCATGGGCCTCAATAATGGGCCTAGGTAAGGCGCATCTAGGTTATTCGCGCAGAGCTAGGCTAGATTGAGGGCCAAATCCCCATGAAACTGCGTCCCTGTAACTTACCCTCAAAGATTGTGATGAATGTTTATTCACAATCCATAGGAAATTGATTTACAAGTAGCTCACCGAATTTTATTCTACCTAAAAGTTACACCAGGAAAATGATAATTGTTCAAGAAAAGAACGTAATTGACATTAGAAGCCTACACTGCTTGCAATTATGTAAAAAATTGAGTTTGATTGAATCGTATAGTTTCATCTTTTCGCTATGGTACATGTCTCGTTTTAGGATTTATTGATAGCAATCCTACTTTCATTACACTTATTTTTTGATATAGTTCGAAATAGTATAGTTAAATATCAATTTCTCTTATACAAAGCAAATCAAACTTTCTCACTTTCACCCCCCTTCTATTTCTCTACATTTAGTATTTTGCGATAAAAAAATATTTCTCTAAACATATCTTTCTACATTTAAAAAAGAAAAAGTCGAGATTCTAAACTAAATAGAATTATTTCATTATTTTTAGTTTAACATCAAGATAATGTACTTTTCTTGGTCGAAAGTTGGTAACAGAGAGGAACAAAAAACAAAATTTGGTAGCAAGGTTAAGTGCTAAGAAACAATGCTTGGTGTAATGGCTCAAGGAATCTACAAACTGTTGTAGCTTAAGATTATTCAAGATGACTTGAGAATCAAATGAAATGTACCAATGAGGTTATACTGCAACAACAAATCAGTCATTAATATTTCTTATAATTTTATTCAACATAATAGAACCAAACATGTGAAAATAGACGGACACTTTATAAAAGAAAATTAGAGTAAGTTTATATGAACTCCATATGTATCTTCTAACAAACAACTAGAAGATATCTTTCAAGTCTTTTGTATATACATCATTCCAAATGATTCTTAATAAAGTAGGAATGGATGATATCCATTCATCAACTTAAGGGAGGGTGGAAAAGAGATACAATTTCACTATATGAGGAAAATCTTGTGTAATGATACTGTAATTAACATTTACTGTATATGAGCTATAGGATTAATCTGGTTGTAATAATATCCATGACTTTTAGGGATTTAGTGTAAGTAGTTGCCTAAGTTGTAACTATACCTACTGTATTATTATGCAGTTCGTATGTGGGAAAATACAAAAAAAATTCATGACTTTCCATGGCCCAGTACTTGAGTTTTCAGCATAGAATCTAATGTTCCAAACTTAACTTGATGTGAGCATGGAACATGAAAATATTATAATATCAAGTGGGCCCATTACAAGAGGGAGAGTAAAAAGAAAACAACCTTTTCAACTCTTCATCCAAGAATGGATCAATGAAGGGGATGGATTTGGATCATTTAAAGAAGCCCAAAAGAAGAAGAAAATAAGTCCATCAATCTAAGGGCATTATGGTACATACACCTCAATCCAAGTGGAAGAGGAAGATCACATAAGGGATTTCTTCTCCCAAACCTGCCAGCAATCTTCTCCCTTAAAGGGAGAGTTAGCCAGGGGGAGATTTCCTTCCTAAACTGCATAAGAGGAGAAAATCAAATCTCATGCCTTAATGGGAAATTGAAATTTCATGGATCTTGGGTGGATTATGGAAACAATTAATCCTTTTCCTAAATCGGTCAAAATCTTTCTTAATTCTTCCCTCAATCATCTCCATAATTAATTAAGATTTTTTCCATTTAAAAGATGACAGATCATATCTACCTTATTTTGATTGTAATCCTCTTGATTTTTAGTATTTTTTCATTTAAGTTTATATTTAATTTCCTATGTAATTTCCTACAATTAATTTAGGAGATTCGTTTTTCCTTTTATTCAATTTCTAGTTGTAACTATTCAAGTTTCAATCAATAAAATTATAAAGCTTCTTTCAACTAATAAGGTGTCTTCATACTTTTTATTGAGAAAGGAGTTGAATCAACTTATCAAGGTATCTCTTATGACATTTTTCCTATTTCTACTTTTTTTAATTTCCCAATGATCTTAATTCCTATCACTCTTTTGATAGCGGATTACGCAGGGAAGGTTTTTATAGAATTTAAACCTTTGGTGCCTTAAAGAGTATTGAATGAGTTCTAAATTATATCATTGATCCTGGGTTCCACATCATAAGTACTCAGTCTAGATATAAATATTAGTATAAAGTGCTGACTATGGAACAGAAGTTGTAAAAAGCTAATACAGTAGTAACAATTTCTCAGTGCTGAACATTCATAATCAAATTTGAAAGCAATAACTTGAGCATGAAGTTTAACCTCAGTGTAATTGTCTGTCCATCAGAAAAGAGATTGTAAGCCTTGGATTCATTTACCTGAAACAAATCAAAACAACAAAAAAAACTTTTTACCAATAAATAACTAATTAAAATTTAGAAGTTACAAGAAACAACAATCAGAGAACAAGCGTAAGAAAAGTAATTGCTCTTTTGTATAAAATCTGATGAAGTAAGAATTGAGGTTCATTGCAAAGCAAGTACCTTCAACACTGATGATAAGGATCCATATATATCACTTTTCTTAACATCCTCCACAAGAATATCATTTGTGACAAGATGACGCAATACGCGGGATGCTTCTTCCTTGGTTAGTAGCTTGCCAGCTCCATGTAAGCTTAGAGTCTCATGTCGGTGTTTCTTGACCTAGATTTAGCATTTACAAAAGAAAGCAAATTCATAAAAACTAGAGGCTAACAAATTCAGAACAGAAAGGCAATATATAAATAAATATTTTCACTTAATAACTCAGGCCAAAATAACTCATTTGAAGATAATTCAAAATTGTCACTCTATTGAAGAAGTAAAGAAATCAGAATTTCTCCCAACTCCATGCACTTACATTTCATTCTTTTCAGTACTTCAGTTTCAACTGAAAGCTATTTACAGTCACCGAATCATAGGACTTCATTTCAGTTTCGTACCCAATGTTTACTTTTCTTACCCTCAAGAGTTTACTTCTCTTATACACTACCTTTTACTAATCTACCAAATCATACTTTAACATTACACAGTCCACTTATTTTTCCTACACATAATCTGATAAAACAAAAATTATACTGAAAAATCTCATAAACTATAACACTCTTCCTAAGGTTTTTCTTCGTAACTCCAAGTCTTTCCCTCAACAATGTTAACCTTTCTTTAAGAAGAGTCTTAGTTAAGATATATCTACTAACTAGCCTATAGAATTGCAACTGGCCAGATGGATTTCTTTGTTATTCTCAAACTTACAAGAAAAAACACTAAGATAACTCATCTTTGTACCAACAATCTTTATCCAGATAGTTTGTTCTTTTGCAAGTTCCAAATTGTGAAAAAATTCCCTCCTTTGCAAAGTCCACTGACCCTTCTAGTGCTTTAGCCTTTCCTGCCTTGCTAGTAACAGGTTTCTTCCATCATTGAAATATTAATTGATCCTATTTGTCTGGCTTGGAAAGCACACTCTGTAACTTCATCAAATCTCATAGATGTCCTCTGCTCTTGAGCTTGTAGCTTGCTAATTAACTAAGCTACAGTCAAATTTTTCAGGTAATGAGATTCTCCAATTGCAAAAATCTTGCACCCATTTGTTTGGAAATTTAATTATTATCTTTTCAACAACTTTATGGTCTTCAAATGGGTTACCATAAGCCTAATTTAATCTACTATCCATAGGCTTG